AAGGTCTGAAGAGACCCAGTCAGAAGGATGGTCAGCTCCATGCTGGGCCTAGGCCAGTTCCCAGCTGGGAGGGCGGGCTGGGAACCACAGCCGATGGGGACAGTGATGGATGGAGTGGCCTGTTCCGGCACATTCCATGTTCTTTCCCACAGGCTCCGCCTGGCCTTAGCGAGCTGCTTCCTCTGCGGATACTCAGCAGCATTCAGCTGGGAACTGGGTAATGTCATGGAGGACACAGGAGCTCCCCTGGGCCCACAAGCAGCCATGGGGCCTGGGAATTTTCTGGAGGGTGGGAACAGGGAAGTGGCAGAGACTGGGATGGGCTGGGGGAGGAGCCAGGCCTCCCTCACCCTCCTTCTTCCCTGAGACCATCCTAGACTCTGCCAGCTTCAGGCACCATGGAATGGTATATGAATGCTGCTGTCTCCGAGTTCCCTACTCATTCGAGTCCCTCAGGGGATCCCCAAACCTCTGCCAGGCCCTATATGCAGTTTCTAGGATTCAGGATAGGGAGCCCCCATAAACTCTCTTTTCTGGGGAGGACTGGAGAGAAGATAACATCAGCTCTTAAAAAAAATAGCAGGGGACAGTGGACATGTTTTAGAGACCTTGGAGGCTGACTGGAGTCACCTGCCTGCAGGGGCCCCTGAAACCTGCAGGGCCAGGCTATCCAAATCCAGTTTTATTGCTGGCCTCTCAAGCTGGGTATCCAGGACAAGTCACGAGACCACTGTGCCTTGGTTTCCCTACCTTTAAGGTGGAGCAGCAGGACTGTATGGATGAGGACTGCCAAGGCCTTCATAAAGCAGACATTCCTCGCCACACAGAAGACAGCTATTTGTTGGGGTGCATGATGCCATGAGCCCCTTACCTCATTTCCTTGGGATGAGGGAGCTGGGCACCCCCACACCATCTCCCCACCTGCCACAGCGGAAGACCTACCAGTGTTGTCCTAAGCCAAACAGCATGCGGGAGACAGTGCGGCAGAGAGCATTATCAAACTGATGACAGAAGCTCCCCCACGATCACTCCAGACTGGGTGACCACACAACCCAGTGTCCTTGCTGCTGGTGTGAAGGTTGACCCTAGGGGCACGGGCATGGATCTGACTCCCTGCACATCTCCATGCCTCTTCCACGTGAGTCGCACTGTGGCTGCAGGCAGCCACCATGTCAGTTGCCCGTACTACAGAGCTCACGGCAATGGCTTGGCCTGGAGCTGATGCGCGGTTCCAATCCAGGCTGCCCCACCCACAGACCATAAACTTTGGTGGGTCCCTGGGGCGGCTCTGGGGTCAGTAGCTGTCACCTGGAACATGTCAACAGTGCTGCCACCAGGACGGCTGTGATTTTTTTTTTTTTTTTTTTTTTTTT